GGAATATGGCGGCTGGAGGCACCTAGGCTCACCGCCGAGTCCGTTCTTGGAGACAGAAGAGCCCTCGCCTCGGCCCCGTTCTAGCGCGTGGAAGGTGGTATGGACAGGCCTTTGGTCCGGGAGGAATTTGGAAATTTTTTTTGACCGGGGGGGGTGTGAGGTGTTTAAGGGGGGGGAGGGGAGAAAGGGAAGGCTTAAGGAGGTGGGGATTGGATGGCGTTGAGGGATGGATTGGATAGGGGAGAAGAGAGAGAGAGAGAGGGAGAGGAAAGGGAGATAGGGAGAGGAGGAAGGGGAAGGAAAGGAGAGGTGAACGTTATAGCCAGGCCTGGTCGACGGGGGAAATTTTTTTTTCTCTCGAGACGTTAACGTAGCTTACTTACATCTTCCTCTGTTTCGTGTGTTTTCTTTTTTTCCCGGTTTGTGTTTGAATGTGTTTTTGGCCTTTTTTTTTTTTCTTCGTGGGGTTTGTGTGTGTGTGGCAGGTGATATGAATGAAGGATAAGGAAGAGAAGGAAGGAGAATTTCGTGATTTAGTTCCTGACGAGGGATGGAGGAGGCGAATTTACAAAGGAGAAGAGAAAGGGGGAATGGTGAACTTAAGTGTTAATGGCGAGAGTAGGCTGTGTGAGGAGCTTGCATCCTGTTTTCTCACATTCTTAAGGCCTTGCTGAGGCATGGGTGGCTCTGGGAAGGATTCTCTTGGGGGGGTTTATGGCGGGGAATAGCATGTCTTTGCACTTTTAGGGAGGTTGGAGTGAAGCCCAGAGTCAAGCAGTTTGGGTAAATCTTCCATGTTTTCACAGAGGTCTTTCCTCTCCCTCTTGACTTGTGATTTCTCGGGGTCTGAGTTTTCCATTGATGGCAGGCTGTTTATTTTGTGACGGTGAATTTTGATGCACGTTGGAAGACATCCATCGCATAGTGTGAATTTTATAACCTTATGAGGAGTGTCCGAGGTGCTGTTCCGTGCTGATCTTCGTGAAAGTGTCTCTCGTGAGAAACAGTGAATTGTGCAAATATCTATTAAAAGAATTTGTGTGTAAATATACGTTAATGTTCATTAGTGAGAATTCAATGCTGCAATATGGAACTGTCTAGACCCATGTGATATTTTGGAAAGAGAATGAACGAAAGAGAAAACTCTGAAATGAGAATTGCTGTTGTGTTCTACTCGGTTTCACACCTGTGGGTGAAAAATATTATTGTGATTGTGATTGGAAGGTGACTGTCTGAGTTGTCATTAAAGAATTTTGATAAACGAGTACAAGACACCCACATTTTTATCATGGACCTATGTGCCAATTGTTGCATCTCTGTGCCTGTTGGTACTCCAGCATAGCCAGCATGCTCTGTACATTCTAGCAAGATAGATCAATCTTGGCAATTTATCATGAAATAAGGAATCAGTCCATTTACTCTTGCCAGAATGTACGTGAGGGAGGTTTGTTGGTCTTTGCTGGAGCATAAAGTATGAAGACCTTGGTGACTACCTATTAGTGTGCCCCTATCAGGTTGGACTTGTTAATGTAGGCCACTCATCACAGATCATAGCAAGTTTCGAGTGAATATGGATAAAGTACAGAGAATATAGTTCGATTAAAGACTCCCAATTTGAAAGTCTCTCTGTATATGTTGTAAATACGCAAACTTTTCAATGACTTTACCGTAATGTTAAAACTGTTTTGGAAAACATTGTTTTGTTTTTAGGAATGATTTATTCATATGAATATATAGAATTTGAATGACGTGGTCATATATCATGGGAACTAGGTAGATAGGTTTGGACTCAGAATTGATATTTATTTTTTTTTCTGTTTTCAGCTTCCAAGAATAAGTGAATGTTATTTCGAAGTATTGCCAGAAGGAGAGACAGGATATGAAGCGAACTGAAGCCTAATAGGTAGTTTCCCCACTCAGACCTGTTTAATTACTTGTTAATTCTTGATGAGACAGTCATGGATATATATTTCAGGAGAAAGTGTTTTTCCCATAGGTTATTATATTCAGGGTACTTCTGTAGTGGGCAGAACAAGGCTGTTCATAGTTTCAAATTAACTGTATGGAAACTGCTTTTCCATAATTTATTGTATATCCTGAACTATGCCAAAACTCACACAAGCCTCATTTTGCAAGTTAACAGGAAGTTGCTTGGATACCATTTTGGCAGTGGAGGAATATGAAAGCGACTCAATTGTTAAATCCTATTAACTGCTTAATTTTCAAAATACAGGCCTACATCATATCCAAGCCTGCTATGACAAACATCTGCAGGATTTTGAATTGAATATTAGGTTTCAGATATTTTTACATTGTGCACCATGGGAATAGCATCTTCTCTGCATACCTAATGTGGTCTCTAAGAGTTTTTAATTTCTTCTCTTTAGAAGTTGTTTGGAATATGATATATAAAATCGACCTTAGTTATGGGTAGCTTTGTGAATACAAATAAGATTAGAAAAAGGAGTTTTGTTCTTTGAATATCTTATTCACTTAATGGTTAGTGCCCCTTCATTGTACATACTGTATATGCTTGTAGCTAGAATGCTTCCAAAATCTTGTTCATATTTCTACAGATTGACTCATTAGCTTTTCTTTATAATAAGCATAACATAGTAATTGTGCAAGACCATATACTGCTTCCAGTCATAGGGATGATAGGAAAGAGAATATGCCTGTTTTATTCTAATTTACTTTTGCTTTTCTAGAGGTTATACCATAATGCCATAGTCCTTCATAGTCTTAAACATAATTCTTCTTTATTGAAGATGTCATCTACCTTTTGGAGAGGTATCAGTACTGATCCTAATACTCTAAGTGTTAATCAGTGGCCAACAGTTTGCCAATTTTGTTACTTACATTTTAATTTATGATTTATCTTGATTTATAGAGAGTACAAAGTTACTCTTATTTTAACGTTAGAAATAAGGGTAGTCATGGATAAATTTTACCAGATTATAATAAGTAAAGATAGTTATGTTGCCATAATTGAAGCACAGATTTAAATAGATTTGTACCCTTTTATTCAGTAGCCACCTGTTTGTTTTAGCTCAGGAGTTAGAAACCTAGGAATGCAAATTCCTGTACGGTGATTACCGAACTCGGGATAGTATTTGTAATAAGGAACCATGTGTACTCAGGGTATAAAATTGTTAACTGCTCATATGAATGATATAGACATATAATCTAATGAACCATTCTTGTGAACCAGTAACTATTCTTTTCTTGTAGCTAAATAAGTAGAGAATTTTATCAGAGGATTAGCTTTAATCCATTTAAGTTTTGCTGTTTAGTAAAAAAAAATTGCCATACTGCCATAGTACTACCAATACTATTAATTGATACTGATACATCTCTAATTCTGTCTTTTAACCCAATCACCACAGATTTATGTAATAACCCATGTAGTTTTTTTGTGAATTTTGTTACATATAGATGGCTGTACATGTGCTCAGCCAGCAAGGAGTCTAGTAGTAGGCCTTAGTGACTGCCCTTGATTTCCCCATTCCTTAAATTGGTGGGAAAATATGTTTCTCTTTCTAATACTATTGATATTGATACTGTTGTTATTCTTATTGATATTATGATTATGAAATTGTTATTAAAGTCTCGGTAATATTAAAGACAATGAAATAATATAAAAGACACTTTCCAAAAATCAAGGAAAAGTTTAAGCAGGTGAGATAGGTAGGACTAATAACTGACTCCTTGGCGACTAAGCACTTGTAGAGCCATCTGTGTGTAAAGACAATACATGAACTTATATTACAGTAGGGATTTCATGTATTCTTGCCAATCCGTGCCAGTTGGGTTAACTGCTCCTGTTTTCTTTTCGTTTTGTTTTCCTTTTTTATTATCTTTTTTAACCCATTCGCCACATGTGGCAAGAATAGATGTCATACCCACTTTGATACACGTTTATTTATTGTATTTACACATAGATGGCTCCACAAGTTTTTAATCACCAAATAGTCAGTTATCAAGAACTACCTATTTCATCTGTTTACCCTTTTCCTTCACTTTAGGAAAGGTTTTTTTGTATCATTTCATAGTCAAAAATATTGTAATGACAATTCAATAAGCATAACATCAATAACAATAATAATAGTATCGAAAGCAATGGTATTAGTTTTCCCGCCAATTCAATGAATAGGAAAATCAGGGTTGGTAACTAGGGTCTACTGATAGACTCCTTGCCGGCTGAGGACATGTGGAGCCATCTGTATGTAACAAAATTCACCAAAAACTACAGGGGACCGAACATAAATCCGTGGCGAATGGGTTAACTTAAATGGTATAGAGAGGAATTCTAATTATGATGATATTTCTTTAACTAGACTAGCATTTACCCTTGAGATTAAACATCCAGAAGTATATCTCATGTTTTACTCTTTTAAGGAGGCAGAGATGCATTTAAGTGAGTGGTGATGATTGTCTCAATGCAACATTTCCAAAAAAAAACCTGGCTGTACAGTTAATCTTATTGGTCCAAGGTTGTAGCTCTTAAACTACGGTAATTAACCCTATAGGTGTTATGCTGTTTCTGGGGGTTAACAGGGCACTTTCTAATAGTATAAGGTTTTGGTTGCTTTGTGTAGGATGATAAATGATTGTATGTGGGTTGAAGGTTGAATAAGTAAATAAATAATCAATAGTTTTTCTGAAGGAATGGTATTGTACGGGTGGGTGAAGGAGGTATGTTTTGGGTGTTGGGGTGGTGGAATGTCTACTGAGATATGTTGTTGGCTCTCCGTGTGCGGGCGAGGCCGGTATAGGATAGGGTTGTAGTTGTGGTTGGTGGGAGAGGTGGTGCATGGGGGGGGGTGATGGTGGGGGCGGCCATTGGGTATACACCACCCCCCCCCCCCCATTTTTTGTTATTAGGGGTGGGGTGAAGTGGGTCTACACTTGGTGGTGGTGTGAGGTCAGTTATTAGGGGGAGGGAGCGGAGAGGGGGCGGGTGCTTGATGGTGGTGGGCGGGGGGGTGTGTGTGGGGGGG